GAATTCTTGACCTCTGTTCTTTCCCCTATACACATAATGTGGGATTTACTCAACTCAACTCAATTTACTCAGGAACTTGGAAGTGCAGATTCCACTTGGCAATCTCAGAAGGGTTTTGTAATAAGCCTTCAATGTGGGGATTATGGCCATTTGCTCTGTAACCCTTAGAAGGGAAATGCTTCCATTACAGTGGCCAGGTCTGCACAGGTGCAGGAAATAATCTCTGTAGTTGTCTGATTACCAGCATCCTTTTGATACAAAAGCAATTCTGGTTACGTGTTGATTCTTAGCCCAGTGTTCTACCACTTCTGCTGCTGGAAACTGTGCTGCTTCTGAAGGTCTGTGGTCTAGCCTTGGATGAGTCTCTTACCCTAATCTTTAGTGCCTGAAAAGCTGGACCTCCCATGTCTGTTGCTGTTATCAATGCCCTTTATTCATTCATTCATCCTTGTGTGTAAACCTGTTTTCATCTTTGAGAGATGACCATTTCCTCCGAACTTGCCTCTCCATATTATAACCCCTGTGAGGTCAGCGTAGGAAACATCCACCCTTTCCCACCAGATCAAAAGATTAGGAAGGGTACTACTCAGTCCACAGCTTATTACACATATTCTAGAACTGTTCTTAACAACAGCAAAAATATTAGCATTTAATATGCATAACAGTGGTGACTAAACAACTTACAAGGTTCTTAGTCTATGAAGCTGTTAAAAAAAAAGGGTTCTGAGTCAAAATATTATATGCTATTAAAAACTTGGGTCCCAGTGAACTCGAGAATAGGGAATCCCCCAAATCTTCTGTCAAGAGAGTACAATCCTGGACTACAGTAGTTTGTAGGATACAAAGAAAAGTCATATATTTAAGTTGGCTTTTGTCCATCCTTGTTTCTCCAAGTTCTGCTGCAACTCATATTGTAATAATATATGAGAGTTTAGAATCATTTCTTCTTCATTTTTTTTCCCCTGAGGCAAGGAATACAACTTTATTTGGAAAGCTGGCTGAACAAGAAGATAGCAAACTAACATCTCAAAACAACCATCTTCTTCTTCTTCGTATTAAAAATTAATTTTATTGGGGTATAGATTTATACCGTTATGTATGTTAGTTTCTGCTGTAAGCAAAGTGAAATCAGTTATACATATACATATATCCATTCTGTTTAAGATTCTCTTCCCACATAGGTCACTGAAAGTGAAAGTGTTAGCTGCTCAGTTGTGTCTGACTCTTTGTGACCCAATGGACTGTAGCCCGCCAAACTCCTCTGTCCGTGGAATTCTCCTCTCAAGAATGCTGGTGTGGTTTGCCATTCCTTTCTCCAGGGGATCTTCCCAACACAGGAGTGAACCTGGGTCTCCTGCATCACAGGCAGAGTTTGTTTGTTTTTTTTTTTTTTTACCATCTAAGCCATTAAGGAAGCCCCATATAGATCATTACAGAGTATTCATTCAGTAGAGTTTCCTGTGCTATACAGGAGACCCTTATTAGCTACCCATTTATATACAGCAGTTTGTATATATCAATCCCAACCTCCCAATTTATCCCTTCCCCCTTTGGTAACCAGAAGTTTGTTTTCCACATCTGTGACTGTATTTCTGTTTTATAAATAAGTTCATCGGTAAAATTTTTTTTAGATTCCACATACAAGTGATATCATATATTTGTCTTTCTCTGACTTACTTTACTCAGAATGAGTCTCCATCCATATCACTGCAAATGGTGTCATTTTGTTCTTTTTTATGGCTGAGTAACATTCCTTTGTATATATGTACAACATCTTTATCCATTTGTTTGTTGATGGACATTTAGGTTGCTTCCACGTTTTGTTTTGGGTTTTTTTTGGTGCTAAACTCAAAGCAATTGGTTCTATGGTCCTTGGGGGAGATACTTCCAGAGCATCTTAGGATTTGCCCATTCTTTCATTCACAAGGATTTATTTAGTGACCTATGTGCCAGGCCCTGGGCTGGGTGCTGGGGCTACACAGTGATCATGACACAGACCCAGCCCTCACACAGTTGACGGCTCCGGGAAATGCCAAGTAAACAGGCCACGGCAGTGAGTTGTGATGAGTTGTGACAGTAAGAGGGAAACCTCAGGGGCAAGAGCGAAAGTTAAGGTCACTGAGCAGGACTGTCAGCGGGGGGTCTTTCCAGGACAGACACCCTCCCCCCACCATGTCCTCTGCCTGCCTCTTATTTATAGAAGAACTTTAGCCTTCTCCAAGTTCCAGAAAATAAATTTAATCACAGAAATGAGAAAATACAGAAACTAAGGAAATAAGCAAGACAAAGTAATAATAGCTCAGCCATTAAACAATGTGAAGGACCTAAGGACCATAGATAATATTCTGAGCCATAGTCTTCGAGTTGCTCTGTAGATACTAACCCACCCCTTCACCAAGTGGAAGAAGTTAACTCTATGCTGACCACAAACACAAAGACCCCAGGTTGGCTGGAACCAGAAAGCTGATGATGCTGACTTCCAATTACCTCACTACAAACCAATCTGAAGAAAGTCCACACATTGATCACACCTCACCATGTGTTTAAAAGCCATTCCCTGAAAGCCCTTGGGGTGTTCAGGCCTTTCAAGCATTAGCTGCCAGGATTCCTATCTTGGTGAGTGGAAGTTGCTCAGTCGTGCCTGGCTCTTTGCGACCCTATAGACGATACAGTCCATGGAATTCTCCAGGACAGAATACTGGAGTGGGTAGCCTTTCCCTTCTCCAGGGGATCTTCCCAACCCAGGCTGAAGCCAGGTCTCTTGCATTGCAGGTGGATTCTTTACCAGCTGAGCCACAAGGGAAGCCCTTAGTACCTGCAATAAATGCTGCACTTCCTTTCACCACAATCTTGTTTCAGCAACCAGCCTTACTATGTGTGGGTGAGCAGACCCAAGTCTGGTTGGGTAAGGGTAAGACCCCGACCTGGGGGAACAAGGAAAGTCTCAGAGGGAAAAGTGTCTTTGAATCTGGGAACTGAAAGCTTAACAGAAACTATCCAGGGACAGAGGTGAGGGCATGGGAAGGAGTGTTCCAGGAAGAGGGAATAACATTTGAAGCATGTTTGAAAAGGGATGGGAAGAGTATGAACTTCTCTTACTTGGTCCAATTAAACATTTTCTTGATGGTAAAGGGTTGAAAATGCCCTTTCCAAAACTGCTGCACATCAGTAATTGCATCTCTTTTCAGTGACTTGAGACTACTTCAGATGCCCCCAACCATACCTCCCCAGAGCAAATCAGCCAACCGACTGTCATTTCACTGCCATTGAGGTGTCATTTCCTGTTTAAGAGGGTAGCTACTTTCTAAGCCTCTACGAGTTGATATTAAAAAGCATCTAAAACACACCAGACCACTCACCTCTCAGCATCTCAAGTTGACTCTTAACCATTTAAAGCTCCAAGTGCTTTATTAGTTTGTGATGCTGCTAACTGAAGAGATCTTGCTCACTTTATAGTCTTATCCACTGCCCCACCCTCCAATCCAAGCCAAAGTTTCAACTCTTAATAAGCCTGTGGTCCTCCGAATCTAGTTTAACAAGGACATAATCCTAAACATGGGAGAACAGTACAAGGGTAGATAAATTAATCACAGCATTTAGTAGTAACAGTAAAAATGTAATAGTGGAAAAACTGTAAAGAAATCTTCAATGGACCTAAATGAGTAAGTGACTCAATACTAATGGAATATCCATTTTTGGAATTTATGAAGCTATTCACAAAGATGACAATTTTCAGTAACTTGGAAAAGGCTAATGAAAGACAACATTAAGTGAAAAAAGAAAATACAGAGAATTAGTCACACATGATTTCAACTATGTAAGAAATACAAATATGAAAAGTGCTGGAAAGAAATCTACCAAAATGAGAACAGGAGTTGAACTGTTAATTGCGGTTTTGAGCTTCTTCCCACAGTTTCTCTCTTTCCTACACTGCATTTGTAACGCCTTTAAAACTGAAATCTTATTAAAAGTAGTCACTCTTTAAGTTAGCAGTTTGAACATTTTCAAATCCCAGCAGCACATACATGGGAACATGAGATCTGAGTGCCTCTATGTAAATCTCCCCACAGGAGCATAGTTTTCCCTTGTGAATGAGCATGTGGGCATTGTTTCAACCCACTGATGAACTGCAGCAACTCCAGGGCAAATATGATGGAGGTTAAAGAGCACTGCCCTAAGAATATGATAGACATTGGAGAAGATTAAGCAAATATGGTTAGAAAAGTTGGAGGTGAACAAGAGATTTGGAATTAAGTTCTTTAAATCAAGTTTGGAAACTTCACCATTCTTTAGGGCTCTGAGTAAAACAATGATACATATTTTTTGAAGCTGAACAAAACCAGGGTCCATTTCTAATGGACTAATTCTAATGCCTGGATTCTAATGCCTGCTCTGACTTCTCTGCCATGGATAAGTTCTTTGGGGATAAATGATTTCCTATGTGTCAACTAACATATAGATGATCAACAGTGATGGCAATGATGACCTCTGGGAGGAAGTTGGGGTTACTCAGCCTTTAGAGAGAAGACAGAGCCAGGAGATTGCTATTCTTTTGTCACACCTATGAAGGTTTAACTTGAAAATAATGAACTGTTTTCTGTAATTCGAGCAAGGAAGATGACAAAATCAGTCTTGTAGCAAGAGTTCTCTAGGTTATACTATAGCTAACTCCTTATATTCAGAAAGATTAGCTAATGGCAGTTGTGGAATTTCCTTTTCTAGAGATTTGTAACAATAGGTTTGATCTATATTTGGCCTTCAATGCCTTAGGGGTCCTGTACAAAGAAGAATGAACAAAAATAGCGTGCAAGCATGTGCACGTGCACACACACACACACACACATATACACACAAACAGCATGGTGTGCCCCAATCTTCTCTCAGAGATTTTAATAGAGATTTTAAAATGATTTATTTTCTCACCCACCCTTCAGCTGAATCAATATCTGAACTGCATCAGTTGCAGAAAAAACTTAGAAAGTTGGCCAAGAGTCATTTACCTGAACTAGGAGTTCCAGCTTCCGGTCATCAAGAAGATGTACTTGACATCGACGGCCCTCCGTCATCTAAGAAGAAAGACAAATGATGGTCACCAAGAGTCTAGTGGCCTTTCACAAGGTTAGAGGGTCCCCATGCTGGATGCCAGCAGGCACATTCCTCTGGGCAAAACCTCCCCTGGGAGCTGGAGACTATATAAGGCCAAGAAACGGCAGGATTGGTTCATTCATTCATTCAAAAATATTTATTGAACATTTTCTATGTGCCAGGTATTATTTTGGGAGCTGGTGCATAGTGGCACACAAGACTAGGTCCCTGTCCTCACGGAGGTTACATTCTTATGGGGGAGATATAAAATAAACTAGCAAATGCATATATAACATAATATCAGGTGGTAATAGTTCTTCATTCTTGAGTCACTCTTCAGTAAGTTTATCACTGTGCATTAGGGTCACAGTTCAGTATCTGGTCTCTGCCACCTCCCAACTCATTCCCCTATTTGATCATAGGGAGCAAAAGACCACCCCACTGGCAACTGAACTTGATTTCTCTGTTAATCATCCCCTCTCCTCATATGACTCTAGTCCCTACAGAGCTGTCCCTTGTGTTACAGGAACCTTGGAGATAAAAGCTCACAGCTGAACCTGACCGCTCACCTTGTGCCCTTCACCAATAACATATCTGTACAATAGAAAGAGCATCTTGGCAGGCAGCAGGAGACCAAGTCAAGTCTTAACCCTGCTGGTTATTGGCTGCAGGACTTTGAACAAGCCTCTGTTCATCTCTGCACCCCCATCTCAGGTATTAAAACGAGTAGGTGGGCCCACTGGGAGCAATGGTAAATGTTTAACAACCAGCTTTCTGGAAGGAAAAAGCCTTCAGAATGCTTCCAAATTTGTAGCATTTGCTGGAGCCCTGGCATCATCCTCAAAGGAAATCCTCTGAAGACCAAGCTTTCTGGGAGATGTTAAGACAGCCACCAATCTAACCAAAAGACTCTTGCTGCTCCAAGAAGCTTCACCACGTCTGATTTCAAGCAACTGTCAGGACAACACGCAGAGTATTTCTAACAGACAGAGACAAAACACAGCACCTCCAGGTAGAATGATGCTGCGAGAGGGCAGGGAAGTTCCGTGCCTCTCCCCCATAATTTCCCTATGCGTTTCTTCTGTCAGGCTGTTCCTGGGTTTCATCCTTTTATAATAAACCAGTGGGGCTTTCCAGGTGGCTCAGTGGTAAAGAATCTCAGTGGTAAGAACAACAACAATAAAGCAGTAATCTAGTAAGTAGAAACAAAACAAGAAAAACCTAATACATACCACTTCAAGAATGCAGATACTAGCAAAGGCCAGTAAAATAATTAGGATGTGTTAAATTGATTTATTTAGTTATTATAGTATGTATTAACTTTGTTCTAACATAACTTATTTAACTGTAAGTTTATATAATTTAGTGTTAATAATGGCTATGTTTTACAACTGGAGCACAGAATTCCTGAAAAGATAACAACTATGCTCACAAGTGAGTCTGAGCCACCCCAACACAGCTGCCTGGACCAGAAGACTTCAAGATTGGCTTTGCATATGACTATAGCCCCCACTGAAGCCACCTTGTCTTTCCCCAGCTATCAGCCATGTCATGCAGACCCAAAGGAAGGATGAACATGGACTGATTACGGCCTTGCCTCACTTCATGGGCATCGCAGTACGTTCTCAGGAGCGCTTTCTCCAGGAAACACAGAGAAGGCAGCCTCTTCTCTCCTTGCCCAACCCGGCTCCTTCCCTGACCACTGGCATGTGCAAAGCTGTTGTCTATTCCTACAAGAGAATTCTTTCTCTTTCCTGCAAAGAAGCCAACCAAGTCATAGTATTATTCATGCTTCCATCAAGTCATATTATCAAGCATAGTTATTTATAAGAATATGATTCAGCCATAAGAAAGGAAATCTAGCCACTTATGACAACGTGGATGGACTTGTAAAGCATTATGCTAAGAAAATAAGTCAGACAGGAAAAAATACTGTATGATCTCACTTATACGTAGAATCTAAAATAAACCAATGAAACCAAAAAGCCATGAACTCCTAGATACTGAGAACATGTTGGTGGTTGCCAGAAACAGGAGAATGGGGGTGGGGGTGAAAACTGGGTGAAGGTGGTCAAAAAGTACAAGCTTCCAGTTAAAGTAAGTAAGACTTGGGTATGTACTATACAGTCTGCTGACTATAATGAACAATACAATATTGTATATTTGAAGATAGCAGATATCAAAAGTTCTCATCACAAGAAAAAAATTTTGTAACTTATTTAGATGTTAACTAGATTTATTCTGGGGATCACTTAACAACATATACAGGGATTAAATTATGCTGCATGCCTGAATATAATCTTATAAGCCAACTATATCTCAATTTTTTTAAAAAGGAAAACTTTTACAAAGTGAATAAAAAACTTGGCTGGGAAAAAAAAAATCCATCAGCTTCATTTCAATCATTGCCCAATCTAAGTTCAAAGAAAGCTACTATAATTTTAAATTATGCTAAAATATATGCTGCCATACCAAAATGTATAAATTATTCTTTTAACAAAAAAGAGCACCCAAAATGTTCACATTTCAATAGAGCAGCTGACAGCAACTACACAGGCATTTTGGATAACATTTTAGATATTCAGCAATTCGGTTCTTACTAGGACGAATTCAAGGTCAACAGAGAGGGAGTTTAGGAAGGAGAGTGCTACAACCATCGTGAATATCATTTTGGAATTCCTTTAAAAACATTTATGAATATTAATGGTTTGAGAAACTTTTCTGAAGGGTGGGGACAACATTTTTTAATTTTTAAGTTTATTTTAATTGGCGGATAATTGCTTTACAATGTTGTATTGGTTTCTGCCACACAACAGTGTGAATCAGTCATATGTATACATATATCTCCTCTCTCTTGCAACTCTCTCCCACTCTCCCCATCCCATCCTGTCCCTCTAGGCTGTCACAAAGCACCAGGTTGAGTTCCTTGCATTATACAGCAATTTCAAAGCTAAGGACAATTTTAAGGAATTTTAAGAAATTCTGTTTGTTCTTTCCATATATAAAACACAAAATTCTGAACTTCTTTATACTGTAAACAGTTAAGGGTATAAACGTGTTCTTGAGTTACTGACTCACATTCTAATAAGTTGTATAAAAACCAAGGAAAATCGGTATCCAACAGACATTACTATATCAAATAAAGTTCTATTCACGGCCATAAAGAAAAGGTAGCCTTATCATTTTTCTTAAAATATTTCCAAACTTGCAAAGTGTGATGTGACCCTGAGTTCATACCCATATCTAAGGTCAGACTCACATGCCTGAGTCTCATTTTCATCTGAAACATACAATTCCATTCCCTGCATCTCATCTTATCTGCTCAGACATTTAAAGAAGTAGCTGTACATTCAGATGTTAAGATCTACCCAAGGATCTTCCAACGTCATTCTTCCCTTAAACAAAATCTTACTACTAAATCTTGGGGGATTTACAAGCACACTCCCTATTCTAATAGGAAATCTGGTTCCCTGGTGGCTCAGATGGTAAAGTGTTTGCCTGCAATGCGGGAGACCCGGGTTCAATCCCTGGGTCAGGAAGATCCCCTGGAGAAGGAAATGGCAACCCACTCCAGTATTCTTGCCTGGAAAATTCCACGGACGGAGGAGCCTGGTGGGCTACAGTCCATGAGGCCGCAAAGAGTTGGACATGACTGAGCGACTTCATTTTCCCTTTTGGAAGGCAAACTGCCCCTGAGAAAAATCTGCACAGAGAAGTGAGTCTAAACAGAAACTCAACTTTGAGTCATCATGTTTTTGAAAGCACAGCTTTCTTTTGACAGCACAGCTGTGGCTCTTTTTTTCCTCAAAAAGGAGACCTGTTTGTTGTTCCACATGGATGGAAAATAGGAGCATCTTGCTTTCATCATCAGCTGAGAAAAGGTTTGCCATCCTGGGTGTGTGTAGAGAGAGAGTGGCTGGACATCTGTAGCTTTGTCTGGCTTCCCAGGCACAGTGAAATTTTCTTCTGAATACTAACAATTGCAAACTAATACTGCTTTCCTTGTTCTCATTTTCAGCTGCTCGGGCACAACTGGAGGGCTGGCATTGCCCTCAAAGGAAATCCTTTCGGAGAACAAGGCATCTTGCAGATGTCAGCTGGCTACCTCTCCAGCCATGAATCGACTTGTCACAGAACAATTCTATACCAAGCAGACGCCTGCCAAGTGCACTGTGATGCCAAAGGATACACAGAATAGTGTTATTTTGGAAATAACGTGTCCGCTCCATTTATCCAACTTCGCTGTTAAGACATACAGTAAATCACGAAAACTACGCACAAACATGGAAATTCATGTATGATACAAGCTTAAGTGAACACAGCAGAATATGAAATGTGTACTATAAAGGTAGCCAATAAAATTGTGGGAATTAAGAGGCCAAAATAAAATAATTATGTGCTGGGGTAGCAGGGTTATGGGTGGTCCTACACCTCCACCCAAATACGACCTCACATCTTTTTTTTCTTTTTCAGTTAAAAAATGTAAAAAAGAAACTTTATCTGGAAAAATGAAGGACTCTGCCTGAGGTCAGCTATAAGAAATGGAGCTTGAGAGGCTTCCTTCTCAGTAAATTCATTTTAGATTGCCTGTGAGATACTAAAATTAATTTTTAATTAGACTTTTGTTGACTTACAATGTTGTATTAATTTCTGATGTACAACAAAGAAAATCAGCCATACATACAACTACTCTGTTCCAGACTCCATTCCCGTATAGCTTATCACAGAGCACCAAACGGCGTTCCCTGTGCTGTAGAGTAGGTCTTTATCAGTTGTCTGTTTTACATACCACAGTGTGGAGACGTGAATCCCAGTCTCCCAATTTATCTCTCTCCGCCCCTTGGAAACCGTAAGTTTGTTTTCTACATCTGTGACTCAATTTCTGTTTTGTAAATAAGTTCATTTGTACCAATTTTCTATGATTTTAACATACCAAGGCACACTAATTAATGTACAAGTGAGAATTACAATGGTCACAGAC